GTGCAATAAAAGGCACATTAACCACACAGTCCGAAAACATAAAATAAAAAAAACGCCAGCCATTAGTTATCACAATACGCGAAAATATAATTAGCAATTTAATAAACCGTGTACCGATTCACCTACCGTTTAATACACAAAAAAAATAATATATTATACTCGCCTTTACATCCATAATGAATCCTTCTACCGTGAGCAAATTCCCGTCTCATCGCAGACACGCCACAAAAAAAAGGAAATTAGGAGAGAGAGACAGACACACAACACGAGCAGGAGCAACCCGATGTTCCCCCTCCACCAGGATGTTTAAAAACGCCAACTTCTCTTTCCTCCCTTCTCCTCTCCACTCTTCTTCCCCCCTTTCTTCTCTCTCCTTAATCCCCCTCACACCTTCTTTCAGTGTGAGGTGTGAGGAAGCACCGGCTATCCCTCATTGAACATGGTTATTGCACGACAGACGAGCGGCAACGTGCAACTCCTCCGACAACAACAACAACACTAACTCAATGACAACAACAAAGCACCCACACCTCCACCCACTCCTTGCCGGGCGCCTCCGGCCATCCAACTTCAGACATTTATTTTCACGCTTTTACCAACGTTGGAAGCACGGAGGGCCCGTCCATACATTAGAATGAAGTTAGAAGGAGGCGAGGAGGTGGAAATTAGTGAGGGAAAATAGGCCCTTTCGGCGTTATGAGGGAGCTCGCGGTGGTCACGACCCGCAACGCCATCTGTCGGGTCGCCATTCAAACTACTTCTGTAAACAACTTCCTTTTACAATTCCTCTCACACTACTACGAACCCTCTTTAAAAATGAATGGGTGCTCGCTCACCTCCGAACTTCAATGCGATACACGGCGACGCCCACACGAACCCTGGCCAACCCTTTTTCAGAATGAATTTCTACTGAAAGCGAGGAGGAAATGGAGAAAGAGAGAGAGAGAGAGAATAAGGTTCATGATGTTGGCAACAGACAAACCGCCTCGGGCCGGGATGAGTCATGCAGGAGCAGCAGGCGAGGAGGAGGAGGAGGAGGAGGAGGAGGAGGAGGAGGAGGAGGAGGAGGAGGAGGAGGAGGAGGAGGTGAAGGTGGAGGAGGTGGAGGAGGAGGAGGTGGTGGTGGTGGTGGAGGAGGTGGAGGTGGAGGTGGAGGTGGAGGAGGAGGTGGAGGAGGAGGTGGAGGTGGAGGAGGAGGTGGAGGAGGAGGTGGAGGTGGAGGTGGAGGAGGAGGAGGAGGTGGAGGAGGAGGAGGAGGAGGAGGAGGAGGAGGAGGAGGAGGAGGTGAGGTGGTGGTGGAGGAGGAGGAGGAGGGGGGAAGTGGAGGAGGAGGTGGAGGTGGAGGAGGAAGGTGAAGAGGAGGAGGTGAAGGTGGTGGTGGTGGAGGAGGAGGAGGAGGAGAAGGAGGAAGTGTGGAGGTGGTTTGGTGGTGGTAGAGAGGGAAGGTGGAAATGGAGGAGATGAAGAAGAAGAGGAGGAGGAGGAAGTGGTGGGAAAGGTGTACGAGGAGCAGGGGAAGAGTAGGAGAAGGTAGCACAGGAAGAAGAGAGGGGGAATGCACAGTTAAAAAAATAAATAAAAGAGAAAAAAACGAAAATAAGGAGGAAATATTTAAAAAGGCGAAGAGGAAGAAACGGAGGCAGGCGGAGGCAGTGAGATCCGCACACATTTTAAGAGTGGCACACTGAACTCGCTGACACCCCCCCCCCACCCTCCCGTCACAGCTCCTGCCAACAGCTCAATCCGCATGTGCTAAAAGGATCGAGTGCGTCTTGTCACAGAACGCGCGAGGATCTGTCTTGCTTATAAGAACGCGTGGCTCTTTTTTTTTTCTTATATACCTGCAGTCGATTCATGGATAGTCAATATTAAGGTCCACTCTGCACCCCGCGGTCGACTGCCATTGAGCGCGCGGACATATTTGGTGGCTCATGGTGAAGGCATACCGTTAGTGGGGAATTAACAGAGCAAGTGAGATTAATCAAGGGCCTGGTATTAATGGCGGCTAATCAACATATTGCTGAGTTGGTCTGGGAACAATGGAACGCGGTCTTTGTGCACCATTGAAAGGCAACCCGATTCTTAAATATTCAGTTTAAAAAAGAGAGAGAGAGAACCTTAGCCATAACTTAGCAACTATTTTAAAACGTTCATCGAATTCTTCAATCTAAAAATCGTTGACGTTCAATAAAATAAAAGTATAAAAGGAGCTTAAAGAAAATGGAATCGGCATGTGTTTCCCCCCGTGGATGATCTGCACTAGTTACCGATCTCAATAGACTGAGTCATGTGGGTTATCTGGTGCTATATCTCGAGTGACAAGGTTGGCTGCGCAGGGAGTATGTAGAATGTTCCCACTCCACTGCCTTGGCCCATCACACCTGTGGTTTCAGCCCACTTGCAAAAAAAAAAAAATAGTAAAGATCATAGAAAATTTCGCCCTATCATTACCGTAATTGGACTATCAACCTACACCCTCACGCTCCTCCCTCCCCCCTCCTTTGGCTCTACCCCTTTCCCCATACCCCCACCCTCCATACCCCCACCCCCACCCCCCATTCCAATACCCCGCCCCCTCCAACGCGATCGCCTCTTAGACCAATTTAAGTTTCCCACCTGCTGGGAACGCGGCTGTCGGCGAAGTGAGGGTTCATGGAGAGAACAAAAAGAGAATGAGAGAGAGAGAGAGAGAGAGAGAGAGAGAGAGAGAGAGAGAGAGAGAGAGAGAGAGAGAGAGAGAGAGAGAGAGAGAATAAGAGAGAGAGAGAGAGAGAGAGAGAGAGAGAATAAGAGAGAGAGAGAGAGAGAGAGAGAGAGAGAGAGAGAGAGAGAGAGAGAGAGAGAGAGAGAGAGAGAGAATAAGAAAAAGAAAGAAAATAAGACAAAGAGAATGTGAAAAAAACAAGAAGACGAGATAACAATTTAAAGAAAAAATATATATATATATAAAACAAAAAAAAAACACAACCATAACGTAGAAGAAAAGAGAAAGAGAAAGAGAAATAAAAAACTAAGAATAATGGTTTCATAGCCGGAGTTTCCTCGTGTGACCCAGCGACCCCCCACATCCGTCCCGCGCTGCGCCGAACAAAAGAGCAACGCCGGCCGCGAATTCTCCAGTGCGCGAATTCACCACAACAAGAACGCCCGTGTTATGACACCGTCCTTTGTCCGCGGGCGGTGTTGGCCTTGCGCGCGCGGTATTAATATAGCGGGGTTTATTTTCCCTTTATCTCCCCGATTATGTTCAAGTACTTGGGTCTTTGTGTGCGCGCGTGTGTTTGTATAGAGGTGTCGCGACTAAGGGCCTTGTAAGCCAAGTATGCTTAAAGGTTAAGCCAGATTAAGTAGCAAGTAGTGTAATTATAATAGAGTCAGGATAATAATACCGAGGATTATTATCATCATCATCATCACGAATAACGAAATCACTTATAATAATAATAATAATAATAATAATAATAATAATATTTACAATATTAATAATAATAACAAACAATAATAATAAATTTAGATATCAATAACAACAATAATAATCAATTTAAATATCAATAACAACAATAATCGAATCTAATATCAATAACAACAATAATAATCAATTTAAATATCAATAACAACAATAATCGAATCTAATATCAATAACAACAATAATAATCAATTTAAATATCAATAACAACAATAATCGAATCTAATATCAATAAAAAACAACTACCCAAAACTACCTCACCTACAACTCAAAACGATAACAAGAATTCGACACCTCAACAAATCTCAACCAATATCTTTTTTTTTTTTTTTTTTTTTTTTTTTTTAAGACACGCCGACCAGATCCCTCCGCGACTTGTCATTACAGAGCAATTTTCGGCCCAATTAAAAAATATATGTCCGCTTGATTAGATAACCACAGGCAATTAGATTCACCGAGTGCGTCAATTAAGGTGAACGACTGACGAATTTGGTCATCTGAATGGACGCTTAAGGATCCCTGACTGAAGGAACGAACGAAAAAGAAAGAGAAAGAGAGAGAAAGAGAGGAGGAACGAACGAAAAAATACAAAGAGAGAGAGAAAGAAAGAAAAGAAAAGAAATTATCCCTGACTGAAGGAACGAACGAAAAAAAGGGAGAGAGAGAGAGAGAGAGAGAGAGAGAGAGAGAGAGAGAGAGAGAGAGAGAGAGAGAGAGAGAGAGAGAGAGAGAGAGAGAGAGAGAGAGAGAGAAATTATCCCTGACTTGAAGGAACGAACAGAAAAAAAGAGAAAGAGAAGGAAAGAAAGAAAGAAATTATCCCCTGACTGAAGGAACGAGATGAAAGAAAAGAAAGAAAGAAAGAAGAAAAAAATAGATAAAATATTTAGATAAAGCTGTGACCGATTAGTGGACTGAAGTCAGTGAAGAGAGAGGCAGTGGGGGGGGGGAGAGGTAAATATTAATGTTTAGAGCGATGGGGGAGGAGGGGAGGGAGGAGGTGGTGGTGCAAGAGGGGGAAGGGGAGGGGGTGTGGGCGGAGGAGGGGCTGAGGAGAGAAGGAGGAGATGGTGGTGAAGGAGGAGGAGGAGGAGGAGGAGGAGGAAGGGAGGGGGAGGGGGGGGAGGAGGAGGAGGAGGAGGAGGAGGAGGAGGAGGAGGAGGAGGAGGAGGAGGAGGAGAGGAGGAGGAGGAGGAGGAGGAGGAGGAGGAAAGGAGAAGGAGGCGAGGAGAGAGGAAAAGGAATCAGAAGAAGAAGAAGAAAGAGGAGAAGAGGAGAAAGATAATAGGGAAAAAAGAACCAAGAAATAAAAGCAGGAGGAGGAGAAGAAGGAGGAACTCAGGAGGAACCAGAAAAGGACAAAACGAACGGAAACGAGAAAAGACCGAACGACAGAGACCCAAAAAAAAGAAGGGAAGACCAGAACCAAGAGGGAAGGCGAAAGAACGACAGACCCGGACAACGTAAAGAGAAAGAGAAAGAAGAAGAAAGAAGAAAGAAAGAAAGAAGGGACGACCGAACGCAAACACTTTAC